CCCCCCCAGCCTATGCCCAAAATCCCTGAGACACACCTAACCTTTACTAAGGTCCTATTACCCCCCCCGAACTTATTTTATATGTAATATTTTACCCCTTTTTGGCCTACATGGCACTGTCTTGTGGGCCCAGCGCATGTTGACATTTTTTTCAAGGATAGTGCCACGTAGGCCGAAAAGGGGTAGAAAATTATATATAAAATAAGTTCGAGAAGTAATAGGACCTTAGTAAAGGTTAGGTGTGTCTCAGGAATTTTGGGCATAGGCTAAGGGGTACTTATGCATTTTCCCATTATTTTATTCTAAAGTGGGAGTATTAATTGGCATATGTATAGTAATTGTTGTCCGATGAAGGTTGAGAGAAAAGTTAGGCCAGACAGAGTAATGATTGGTAGCACACGTTAATATTTATATGTTAAAATTTGATTGGGTCATGGGGCTGTTAAATTGTTTTCTCAGTTGTTTATGTTCGTAGTTGGGGTTACTGTTAGTGGCACTTAAGTAAATGTTCCAATGTTTCTATAGTTATCTTGGTATGACTCAAGAATATATTAAATTGATTATAGAATTAGGTGAGTTTTTGGGTTTAGGAGAGACACAGAATAATATGAGTGTTAATAGATTCGTTAACTTACAAATTATGCATATCTACTTGATAGATTGGAAAGGTTCGGAGTCATGGAAGAAAGCAAAAAGTATTGGAAAAGTAGCTTGCTTGACTTCGGTTCTTCGGTGGAGGTAGGTTATGGTTTATTCTATTTGATAGATAAACTCTTAATAGCGATTGATATGCATTGAATGATACTGTGAAGTTCTCTATGTACTTGATTGAGTGATTGTGTGGCTTGGTTGTGTGGTTTGTGATTGGTCTAAAATCCTGAGACCGTGAGATTTATAATCTGAAAACCTCCCTATCGAAGTGATGCCTTGAATAAAGAAGGCTTGATGTAATATTATTAATGAATTGAAAAGTGATGATAATAAGTGATAAATTAATAATATTATTGGATCGGAGTGTCACGTTCCGACACGATATTTTTGGATCGGAGTATCACGTTCCGACACAGTTTTTTTGGATCGGAGTGTCACGTTCCGACACGATATTTTTGGATCGGAGTGTCACGTTCTGACACGGTAACATTAAAGGAAAAAGATATTGAATTAACTTAATGTACTCAATCTCAATGAACGCATTTCCCAAACGAGTGTGATGTGGAGGCATGAGTCCTCGTGTGTGTGCTTGATATTGTGATTGATTACGTACTTGCTTCAACTGTCACTTGTTCATGTTGTTGTTTCTTATCACCTGCTAAGTGCTATAGTTGACTTTATACTATTATTCATTGTATATTAGTTTCTATTTTGGGTTGGCCGATGATACCTACTCAGTACATGTTGTCCCGTATTGAGCCCTACTTGTATTTTTCTTTGTTTTCCTTTTATGGAGTGCAGCGAGTGTACCAGCGACTTTGACTCCCCCTCAGCGCTAGCTAGTCTCAGCATATCAAGCTCCAGGGTGAGCTATTCATTCCAACTCGTGTTGGATTCTCTTGGTCATGACATGATGTCCTTAGTTTTCGGACATAAACTATTTTATTCATTTATTTTGGTGTTTTTAATACTCTTAGACTTAGTATTTGAAGATTAGATGTCTTTGATGTGATGACTTTCAGGTTTTGGGGATAATGTGTAATTGACTTTAGAGGGTGATTTGATTGGTTACTTTAACAAGTTTTGAGCTTCCGCATTTATATTGTTATTCGTAGTTGAATTATTGATATATGTTGGGGTTAGATTCCTTGGTTCGCCCACTTAGGAAGTTAAGTGTGGGTGCCACTCACGACTCGGTTTGGGTCGTGACATTTAGCATTCATAATTTTTCCCATCTGACAAGTAAAACCTCTAATCAAGAACTTGAACATTATGCAAGCCTCAGGTGCTGGCAGTCTGAACTCATCAGCTTCTTCTTTAATATTGAGCTGCAATTCTAAATCACCATCCTCCTCCTCTCTTTTCCTTTCATTCATCATCAATAGCTTTTGACTTCCTTACAAGATCAGTATCATCTGCATCTGAATCAGAATCGGAACCATCATCTGCAACATAAATGACAAAGCAAAGAAAAATAGCCTGTTACGAACCTTGTTTCACATAAGTATCCCAAACAACAACAGAAGTTTGCCTTTTCACCAACTTATATCACAAGAATCAATAATAGCCTCCATCAATATCTCTACCTAAACTGATAATCATATAACAATTATTATTTTTAATTTCAGAATAGCTCATTTTATTATCACACACAAAAACAAATATATTTAGCTAATGTTGAGAATTCTGCCGCCGAGCCCCAGCTTTCACCAAAAATTACACTATTTAGTTATGTCAAAATTTTAGTTTTACAGATATAGTATATGTAGACTTCCTTTATGGCTTACAGGTAGGTGCTTCAACTCTTTCACCTCAAATCTAAATGAAATTCTTCTCCCACTCTCGCTCACCTCTCTCCTCCCTCTCCCAATCTCGCTCGCCTCTCTCCTCCCTCTCCCAATCTCGCTTGTCATATATACAACCAATCTCGCTTGTCATATATACAAATACATATGTATAATATACAATTATCTAACCGATATACATATACACTTCACCTCTCTCCCACTCTCCTCCCTCTCTCACTCGCCTCTCTCCTCCTTATAACATGTAGCTACGAATTGTAATTATCAAACAATAACTATGGAGAGTAATTAGGCTATTTTTAAGTGGCTATATGCAAAAGTTCCTCAATACTGATTGTAAAATCTTAAAAAAAAAATTTAAAATTTATGATTGTCACGTCATTAAATAGTTATCAAAAATTATATTTTAAAAAATAATACCCGGAAAGTCAATTCAATAAAGTTGAATAACTTTTAAAAGACATAACAAAGTTAAATAATTGAATGCGATGATCAATTATCTAAAATTGAGTGAAAATCCAAGTTTTTTACCCTCCAATATCTACTTCCATGTTATTATCAATTTGGATAACTAAATCTATGTTGATCTGCTTCGAGAAGTTGCACTAAAATGTCTTGTGTCACATGTGGAATAAGTCTTTTCTGGAGGAGCTTGAAATAGAAAATTAGATCTTTCTAGAATTTCATTTTAACCTCTCATACATCATATATGATTATAATTTTACATTATATAAAATCAAATTTACGAAAAAAATGTCATTTTTCGTTTATGCTATGAGTCTTCTATATAATTGAAATATTATTCTTGCTTTACATAGACATATAAGACTTAGCTTCCCTATCCAAAATTTAACTTTCTCATGGAATTTGTCATATTCGATCAGCAATCAGATTGAAACATCATAAAGAATACAAAGTCTATATATATATATATGAAATTTAATTTTCTACAAAAGGCTTACATATTGGAGGGATACAAATGAGTGCATCTATGTGGAGAAAGATCGATAAAGGATCTCAAGATAAAGGTGTTTTCTGGTATAAAAACATGTTTTGAAAGATGAATTCCAAAAATTACTTACTTAGCATAGGTTAGATGTTCAGCTCGAGTCGTGGTAAGTATTTTGAATTGGAGTTTAAACTTTATACGTTAAATGTTCAAACCTCAACTGAAAATACTTGCCACGACTCATGCTAAATCATTTAACATATCCCAAGCAAATAGCCTTTGGTATTCGTCTTTGAGAGCTTGTTTTCGTACCAAAATACACATTTATCTTAAGATCGTTTATCGATCTTTCTCCTCATAGATGCATTCGTTTGAATACTTCCAAATTGCGCTTATGAATTATCTAGATCATCGTCAAATTGATAATATTCTTCTAGTAATGCTTGATAGATTTTTGGTTGCCTCCATTGCATAATTTATATTTGTAGTAGCTTGAGCTCCTTTTAGCAAATCCCAATTGGATGAATCATAATGTAGCAATGAAGAGTGAGTGTAGTGCAACATATTCATTGATATGTACAAGCCAAGTTAGCTTGTATGTTAGGGCAATGCGATACATTACATAAGTAGTTGCAATAACACCTGCATCTAAAATGTAGATTTGTTCAAATAATTAGAAAACTTTTTGGTTTATATATAAGAAGTGAAAATTTGTTTCTAAAATTTCTCCCCAGACCACATTTTTCATATGTGCTAAGGAATTAATTTACCATATTCTAATTGGAATAAAAAACAAAAAAGAGTTGGGATTAAAGAAGTAGAAACTTGGATTTTCTATTTATACTTTAATAGGGAATTGATTATTACATAGATGCTTTTGTCAATTACTGAAATGAAATCTAAGTGTAATTTGATATTGGATTGTTTGGTAGGCGGAATAAGGTCTGATATCTCAGAATTAAGATAAATTTATATTGTTAATTAAACACTATATATATCTAATCTCAAACTTAATTCTGAATATGATCAAATCTTATCTCACCAAACATTGAATTATAGTTGAATAACATTTTGTTTTTAGTAGTGTTACTTAACGATAAGGATAATATTGGAAGAAAATAATAAACTTCTATTGTTTGACTAAAGAGAACAGATAAAAAAAATCTATTTTTAATAAATGGAACAAATAAAATGAAACGAAAAGCATATAAAATATAAAAAATTTATAGATTTTAAATAACGTGATTTCAATTAAACACAAACACATACTTCTCTTTTATCCATAATAAACACATCAAAAGATCACCAATATTAGTATATAAAAACAAGAATGAGCATATCCAAATAGATGGTAAATAAAGATAGATTTTTGGTTAATAAGAATTAATACCTCAAAATTCAAAAGAGACCTTCTTTTAGCCTTAGGAAGGCTTGGTGTTCCTCTTGAGAGTATTTTTCACTTCTTAATTTCAGAAAAATAATAGTGCATTTATATGTACTATGTTGGGGAGTTGGGGACCCAGTGTTCATCCTCCTCTCTTGTCTTCATCCACTTTATTAATAATTTATTATTATCTCTCTATCAATTTTATGATTCACGTTTTTAAGTAAGTCTTAAAAAGAACAATCTATTGTACATCTATTGAGTAGTAATTTAATTTTAAAATATTTATTTTATTTGTAATGAAATTATTTATAGTTATACAACTATGACTTATTTTAAATCATAAGTTTCGAAAATCTCTTTTTTTTAAAATTTGTGTTAAATCAAACAACATCACATAAATTGCGATGAAAAAAGATGATTAATATTCTAGCTTTTAAAAGTTGATTCTAAATAATTCTTCTTAATTCTTAAGAATCATAACATACTATTTTAGTCAAAATTCCTCTTAATTTTTAAAATTAAGCAAATTCCTTAATGTAAATGCTTAAGTCTAGAACATTACTATTTTGGATTTTTAAAACGTATATCGCGATTGTTATATTTTAATTAATCGAAAAAAAATTAGTAGCTTCGTGTTCCACTCTTTCGCGATTGCTTACGTAAAGGCTTAGATCAGAACTAAATAATATATTCATTTATGACAGATTGGATCTTAACAAATAGACATGATTAGATTTATTTATTAAGAAGATAGCCTTGAAAAATATATAGTATGGTATTTTAGCTGCTAGAAACAAAAGACTTGTCTAATGGTACTATTTCCAATTGCTAAAGATTTCCACATCATATAAGTGACATAAAGTGTAAATGAAGACTATAAATTAGGGGCGGCTTGAGTTTTTATGATTTAAAATTTAAATTTTAATAAGAGACCTTGAATTTTAAATAAATAATATTATTAGAGAATAAAGATTAGCGACAAATAAAAAAATTATAACTGAACAATACAAATTTTATGTTAATCTTATTTAGCTATAAATTATAAGAAAATTCAATCATGTAGAAGCTTTTAGCAATGAGTTAGCTAGGAATTGCTAACAAATTTATAGCTAATTTCATTTTTTAAGTTTTTTTTTTTAAGTTATAAAGTTATAATCAGATTTATATTTTCTAGTTGACGTATTAAATTTTTAAACAAATAATTTAAAAACTATCAATATAGCCAAATAAGAAAAATAGCAATTACTATACTACTTAAAAGTTAAAACAATATTATCTAATTCTAGAAGTTTCAAGACTTGATTTCAAAATATTTTTTTGGCTACTTCAAAGTATTATTTATCAAAATTTGAAATATGAAGTATGTACTTTTCAACTATATTTTCTTCTAGAATAGTAAGATTATAAGTTTGACGCTTTGATTTGCAATATGAAAATTCTTGTGGAAAAAACTATGAATTTTATGAATTATGCTCCACCATTTCTCTTTTCTGCATTTTTTCTTAATTTTTGCCTGGATTAGAGATATATATCATAGTTTAAAACAAATGATTGATATTTAAATAATCAAAGTAAAATTGTGATCATGTGATTAAAATAATTAATTAATTTCATATTGTTGCTTCTAAAATATTTTTACAACCCCACAATTGTACATTTATATTATATCTTAGCTTTATATTGTTTCTAAATATATTAAAAACTTTTCTTTCTTACCTTGAGTAATTAGAAAAATGATGATAAAAATTTAAAGAAATTTACAAAATAATATTTGTCAGAAATAAAAATTAAAAGTATGGCATGATATATTTTAAATATTAGGATCAAAACAAAGGACCTATTATCTAGACATGGGTTCTTTTGAATACTCAAATAAAAAAATAAAACTTTAACTTATATTATTTTTAAAATAAAATAAAAAGAACGAAGTAAGCATATTTTATGCACGGTAAAAATTTACTCCAGTCAAGAAAGAATTTTTTAAAATATATTTAAGAAATATAAAATGTAGATCTAATTTTTTATGAGATTGTAAGAATATTTTAGGAGTAAATATATGAAAGTAATTAATTATGTAAATAATTATTAAGACTTATTTTAGTTAGTCGAATTTTAATTATTAATTTCAAATTATGACATGTGTATTTAATTCGAGCAAGAATTTGAAACTAAAAATAAAAATAGAGAAGGATCGAATCTCTATATTTATAATTATAATGTTCTAAACTTCTGACAATAAAAACTAGAGAAAATCACACCATATATATTAACTAATAAAACATATCAAAAGTTTTAACAAGTTTTCTTAAACTATTTTTAAATTGAACACCAGTTTTCACTCTTGCCATTTTTGTTATTTTTAAACTATTTAAAAATTATATACAAATAATTCAAAGTAAAATCATAAATATGAATAATTAATTCTCTTAAAATTATTTAAAAAATGTAAATGAGAGGTGAAAATAAAATAAAATTTCCAATGACTCTCTTAAACTTTGTACAATCCACTTATTTTAGTGAGTAAATTTTAGGTTTAGCAAACATAAAAATTATATTTGTATATGTTATAGCTATAGTTTGTATAATTGCGCTCCATAGCAAACTTTATGTTTGCTATGGCTATTAATCTGTATATTTCGGTATACATATACATAAAAAATATGTATTTGGGTCTATTTGTATATTTTGGTATACAAATGGGTCCTGTATTTGTATATTTCGGTATACAAATGAGTCCTGCATTTGTATATTCGGTATACAAATGAGATGACCAAAAACATGGAATGTTTACTGCGAATTACAAATAAAAGAAACTATGACTATAACATTTAATTTGAATTAATAGTTTGTTATTTCATACAATTTTTTCTATTTTAAACTATAACAAAAGGCCCAACAATTCACTTAATAGCGATAGAATAGTTATAATATAAGACATATACACTCAATTGTAGTCCTGCTCAATTGTATACAATGTGCGCGCATATTATATGTATAAGTATGTATAAATATGGCATTGAATGTAATCTGGAATCCGGAATAGTGGAATATGAGTAGTAGTACCATACATCAAATATCGGATGAAAAACTTAAAAAAAAAAAGGGACATGACATTGAATGCAAAGAAGAAGCAGGCTGGATCATCCATATTGATCTAATTCATGAACAAATAATGGGCCTAGGTCAGTTGAGTCACATTATTTCTAATTTATTATTGGGCAAAAAATTTAAGTATACATATTAAGTACCATAATTACGACTATATAGCAACACTTTTTTTTCCACCCAAATAGCATTAGTTTTTTTTCAAAGTTATGTTTTAATAATAATAATAATAAAACATAATAAAACACGTCCAATTTAGTGCTCCAGCCGTTCCCCTTTTTTTCTCAATTTTTCATATTCAACGATTTGCTCAGATTGGTTATATATATTCTCTCCTAACAATAAAAGGTTTCTTAACAAAAATAAAAATCTCTTACTACTCATTCTAGACGCACTTCAATCATGGATACCAATAATTATTCAATCCTAATTCACCATAAAGGACATTGGGACGCATCAGGTAATATTGATAAATCAATATTTGATTGTTGTTTTTTTAAGTGATTTTTCTACGTGAAAAATCATGATCGTTATGTTGTAGTATACTATGTTGGATATGGTTTTTTTTGTTACAATCTAACAAACGACGTTAAAAATGGTGTAATTTTGAAGCTTTTAATTAATGGGTTTTTTTTGTTATTGTTTAGCAATTTCGATTATTTTTTTTGGGAAAAGTTTTTCTTTGGTTTGTTTTCTAGGGTTTGTAGGTTAAGAATAGAAAGCAGTTTTAGTGCTTATGGTTAGTAAATTGGTTGAATGATCGTTTTTAAATATTGAACATGTTGGTCGTACAGTGTGATGTATTTCTGATTTTTAAGGTGTCATTCAGAATGTTAATGATGGTGTGCATATTGATTATATTTTGGTAGATAATTTGGATTGTTAAGTTATTGGGTGAAAATAATAATATTTAATTGGTGTCATTCAATTTGTTGTTTTTTTGGTACATAATGATGGTGTCATATTAATTCTATTTGTTAGAATATTTTATATTGGTAAGTTATTTGGTGTAATTGATCGTTTTTATTTACTAAACATAATGGTCTGCCAATTTGCTAAGATTCTGATTTTTATGGTGTTTTTCATAGTGGAGTTTTTGGTACATAATGATGGTGTTCATATTTATTCTGCTTTATATAGATCATTTTGATAACTCAAAAAATAACTTAATAGTGTAATTTATGAATTTTGTGGCACATATATTGAATAATTATTGGAGAGAACTCTTTAAATCAGGCTATATTATTTTAATACATTGCATTGACCAGGCTGATTGATGAGATTGACTTCAAATATGTTTTGATCTAAGCCAGGTAGATATGTTGATTACGATATTGAAGGAGTAACATATGATGCAAACACAAAACATGAAGACTTAATTACTACTATTGCTTCCCAATTAGGTGTGGACACACCAATATTTCATTTAGAACTAAAATATGTTGTGAGTGGACCATCTCCACCAATGAAGATTCATAACGATATGGGTTATTACAAGGAAACAACCAGGCAAACCACCAAGCAATGACCGTAAGAAGGGATTCAACGAAGGAAAATACAAGAGGAGTAAAGTTACTTGTAGTAAATGTGGTACATCAGGGCATAACAAAAAGACTTTCCCCAAATTTGCTTATCAGAATTAACATTGTTGTATTTCAATTATTATTGTTGATGTTTTCTTTCAACAATTCTGAATTTTTTTAAGACTGATAAATGCACTTTTATCTAATTTGGTTACTCTTGATTAGTTTATTTATATTATTGATGATTTAATTGGCATATCTTTGATATTCTCATGTTTGACATACAAGTTTGATATTGTCGTGTTTGTCATACAGTGTTGTGTTCTAGGTGACTTAGATAAATGCAACATGTTCAAAAAAATTGTGTTGTAATTAATGAGTGAATGTTAGTGTAACATACCAAAAAAAATGTAGCACAATTGGTGTGCTTATTGTGAAATAA